GAACTAGAAGAAACCATCCTAAGCAAGGTAACACAGTCACAAAAAGACAAACAGGGTATGTACTCACTCATATATGGATTTTAGACATAGAGCAAAGGATTACCAGCCCACAATCCACACTGCCAGAGAAGCTAGGAAGTAAGGAGGACTCTAAGAGAGACATACATGGTCCCCTGGAGAAGGGGAAAGGGACAAGATCTCCTGAGCAAATTGGGAGCATGAGGGGAGCGAAGAGGTAGCTAGGAGAATGAGAAGGGGAGAAGAAGAGAGGTGAGAAGGACATAAGGGAGCAGGAAGTTTGAGTTGGGGGAAGAATAGAGGAGAGCAAGATAAGAGATACCATAAGAGAGGGAGCCATTGTAGGATTAAAGAGAAATAAGGCACTAGGGAAATGTCTGTAGATCTACAACGATGACACCAACTAACAATCTAAGCAACAGAGGACAGGCTACCTTAAATGCCTTCCCTTGATAATGAAATTGATGACTGACTTATATGCCATCCTATAGCCTTCACCCAGCACCACGTGAAAGTGGAAGCAGACACCCACAACTAAACACTGAACTGGAATCCAGTTGCAGAGAAGGAGGAGTGATGAGCAAAGGGGTCACAGCCAGGCTGGTGAAACCCACAGAAACAGCTGACCTGAACAAGGGGGAACTCTTGGTTCCCAGACTGATAGCTGGGAAACCAACATGGGACTGATCCAGACCCCATGAACGTGGATGCCAGTGAGGAGACCTTGGAAATCTATAGGGCCTTTTGTAGTAAATCAGTACTTAACCCTAGCATAGGAATGGTGTTTGGGAGCCCATTCCACATAGAGGCATACACAGGGGTGGGCCTAGGCCCTATCCCAAAGGTATGACAGACTCTGAAGACTCCCCCCCATGGAAGGCCTCATCCTCCCTGGGGAGCAGAAAGGGTATGGGATAGGTAGGGTGTTAGTTGTGGGGTGCAGGGGACGAGGGGAGGCAGAGGGAACTGGGATTGACATGTAAAATAATCTTGTTTCTAATTTAAATAAAAAATGGAAAGAAAAAAATAGCTGACCAGGAGGATGAGGGGAACTGGGATTAGAATGTAAAACATTCATAAAGAAAAGGAAAAACAGAAATATGTTTTCTGAAAATAAAAAAATAGCTGAGCTGATAAGTGAAATAATATGACTCAAAAAATTTTATAGTCAAAAGTATTTACTACTGTTAAAAATTTCTTAAGAGATAGCGTATACTGACCAAGCAGTGGTGCATGCCTCTGAGCTAAGAACACAGGAGGCAGAGACAGATCTCTGAGAGTTTGAGTCCAGTGTGGTCAGGCCAGCCAAGATTATCTAATAAGACTCTGTCTTAAAAAAAAAAAAAAAAAAAAAAAAACAAAAAACAAAGATAATGTATATTATCATCAATAATTTCAATACATAAGAATGCACATCCTGCTGATAAGTAAGTTTATATTTAGCAAATGCATTTCAAAAGAAACTTAATACACAAAAATATAAAGACTTAAGTCACAACCTAATTTATAACCTATGTGTCAAGATGGGACTGGCTGAGACAGTTAAAATATCAATAAACTGCTAAAAAATATTTATAATACTGTTGGTTGAAAAACATTTAAAAAACAAAAAAACAAAACAGCTGTACCTAATACTTCTCAGGCTTTTGCCTAAATCAAGGACAGCACTGGTTCTCTTTAGTTCTAAGCCTGATTCACCCATCCTCTACCTCAGAACAATGTGCTAAATAGGTTTTGGGAGCAAAGAGATGAGCTCGGAGCTTGATCTATCTATCCTTTCCATAAATGTTTCCTGGATGGTGTATTAATTTAAAAACAAACAGACCTTACAAGTACAATCATAACATTTGTAAAGTATACATGTAAGCCAGACATGGTTGCTCTTACCTGTAATCATAAAAGCACTTTAGAGCCTGAACCAAGAACCTCACCATGAGTTCAAGGCCTGGACAAAACTATAAGTTACAGGTCAAACCCTGACTCCCCTGCCCCCCAAAAAAGTACAAATATGTAGACATGCACTATTTATTGACAAATAGGTGTAGTCATATATATCAGCAAATATATGTCATAGATATAAAAGTTCAAAGAAATAACTAGGAACAAACATACAAAAGTGAGAAACACAGTGTTTTTTCTTTAGACATCAAAATATTCATGATAATTGTCTTCTGATGAAACAGACATATTGATCCAGTTTGGACATGGTCTCTTCACAGCAGACACTTCAGCTCTTCTTGCCTCAACACACTCAGCACCACAAACACCAAGACCAGAAACTAGTTGATTTCCTTTTATGTCTTCTCTTGTAGGTTTCAAGAATCAAACTCTTAGTTCAAACAAATAGAGAAAAGAAAGGCTTATTCCCCCTAAGCTTAGAAATAAAAGTACAAATATAAATTTGAGATGATTGTTTTCATAAAAATCTCAGACTCTAACACATTATAATTTTACATGATTAGTGTACACAGAATAGGTATGAAGAACTACGTGTAATAAAATGTAGTTCCTCTTAAGGAAACTTTTAGAATGGGTAAAAAGTCAGAAATTAAGCCACAAAGAAAAATGTATCTGGGGTTTGGTTCTAATCTTAGAGTTCTGTTTACAGAATGAGGAGAATCTAGCCATGCTGCCTGCAGACATGCAGCCCATGCTGAAAACATCAGTTCTGTCAAATAAAACCACATTTTTCAAGACTAATTAGTACAAAATTAAATGATTTCTTGCAACAAAGAACAGCACCTTATTTCCCCATTGTCCCTTTTCCATAGCAACCTTATGTTCCAAACATAACAGAACAATAAAATTATTCAAATTTCTAGAATGTTTGATATCACAGACAGATAAATGACTAGTAATGGCACTCAATTAAATAACATGCAACAAAAGAAAAAAATCCCATGTATAGAGTCCACAACATTACTTTTGTCAACATCTATATTATTACAACTGAATGTAGAGGGCTAAAGAGGTGGCTCAGCAGTTAGGAGTGCTTACTCTTCTTGCAGAGGACCCATGTTCTGTTCTCAGCACCCACATGGCAGTTCACAACTATCTGTAACTCCAGTTACAGGAGATTCAATGCAATCTTCTGACCTCAATTGCCTCTTCTAACCTTTGTAAGTTCCTGCACATACATACTGCACATTCACATAAAATTAAATAAATAAAAGTTGGGGTTTTTTGTTGTTTTTTTTTTTTTTTTTTTTTTTAATGAATGCAGGCTGTGGAGATGGCTCGGTCAGTAAACAATGCTGCACAAGCCTAAGGACCTGAGTTTGGATCTCATATTAAAAAAACAAAGTTCAAGGGCATCCTTAGTTACATAAAAGTTCAAGGCCAGCCTGGAATAGTGAGATCCAAAAAAAAAAAATGTTTTGGTTTTATTTTTTTTATTTAATTTCTTATTGTATGTATGTAGATGTGGTGGAAGTGAGTACCACAGTGAATGTGTGGAGGTCAGGGGACAATTTTGAGGTGTCAGTTCTCTCCTTCCACCTTTACATGAATTCTGTGTATGAAACTCAGGTCATCAAATGTGCAACAAGCATTCTACCCACTGAGCCATTTCTCCAGGCCTTCAAAGGTGGGTTCTTTTTTTTTCAAGCAAGAGATAAACAAGGTAACATTTTCCACTGGAATGCCTATAACTATTTAAATGGAAATGCTTTATAGATTTACCCATTAACTGTTGTATAATGAAATTATCTCACAGGACCCCACATTTAGTATGTAATTATTATTTGCCAATTAAAACTTTTAAATTATAACTCTGCTTACCCACCATTCCTTGGTGTTATTGTTGTCATTGTTCTTATTTTAAAATATGGCATAGTGCCTATAATACACTTGCATTTTTGCTACAAAAATGTGGTGGTATTTTGTTTATGATCTAATAAACAAAAGGTCGCCTGAAGACCAGAGTACAAAGCTAGCCACACTAGTTAGCCATAGAGGCCAGGAAGTCGTGGCCCACACCTTTAATTCCATTTAAATAGGCGTTACTATTACAAGAACCTTCTACTATGTGTGATTTGCCATAATTTTTTGAAGATTCACTGTAAGTTAAAGAGGATTATTGTAAACTTAGAAGCAATCATTTTAAAGAAATAAAAAAAGGTATGGATTATAAAGCATTAGTGAAGATACAAATAGAATCCTAAAATCTACTTAATTGAGATGAAAGCAGATACACAGAGAAAGAAAAAGTAACAGTGAGGACAAATAGATAATAAATTAGACTGAAAGCCACATATAGATAAGTGTATCTAGTATAAAAGATCTAAGGAGTTCAACTAAAAAACAGATTTTCAGGGCTGGAAAGATTGCTCAGAGATTATGAGGACTGACTGCTCTTCCAGAGGTCCTGAGTACAATCCCAGCAACCACATGGTGGCTCACAACCATCTGTAATGAAATCCCGTGCCCTCTTCTGGACTCTGGCTTGCAGACATACATGCAGGCAGAACACTGTGTACATAATAAATAAATCTTTAAAAAAAAAAAAAAAACAGATTGTCACATGTGACCTTTTAAAAAACAGCAAGATCAAGCCACGCATGGTAACACACACTGACAATCTCTTTATTTCCAAAAGAGAAAAAAAAATTAATAGGCCTATCCTCCTCAAATCTGATGAGGTTATAGAAGTCAAGGAAAGACTGAAGACAGCTTAAGATGCAAGTAGGGTACCACAGAGATAGGGCAGTGGTTTAGAGCACTTGCTGTTCTCACAAAGAACCCACATTCAGACTCCAGCATCCACATCAGACAACACACAAATGCCTGTAACTCCAGGTCCAGGGGATCCAATGCCTTTTTTCTGGTCTCTGTGGACACATTGCAAGCACACAGACATACACACACATACATACATAGATTTAAGTGAATAAGAAAACAAATCTCTTTTTTTAAATATTATAAATTAAAGAAATTTTAGATAATACAAACTGCTCAACTAAAAAAAAAAAAAAAAAACTTACCTTTTGGTTTTCATCTGGTCCCTCAGTTTGCTGTACATCTCTAGGACTTGAAAGAGAAAACAGATCATACAGGCATCATTTAAACAAAATAAACAACTAACTCAGCTAAAGGAATTACATCAAGAATCCTACTCCAATCCAGTTTCCTCACCTGGAAGACACAGCATTAACTTATCAACAGTGGCAGAAATATTTCTCTGTTGTAGCCGACACTGCTTCAGCTCTTCCATTGCTATTACCAGCTTGGTAAAAGGGGGAAAAAATAGAATTATGCCAAGAACTGTAAATAAAAAGTTTTCAGTTACATTTTCCTACTCTGCATTCAATTTACCCAAGAATCCCTGTTTCCTAGTAAGACCTACAATGCAAGCTAAAGAACTGCGAAACACTCCTATATAGCTTCCTACTTTCTCCCCACACTGAGCACACATCTAAAAAGGGCTATGTAAAATGATCCTTAAAGCACAAAGGCTATCCAGGAAAAAACAAACATTTGCCCATTTTCTCCAAACCCTATACAGAGTCCATGATTTACATTTTCTTGTGAGTCCTGAACTCCTGGAGGAAGGTAGTCCTTCTTATCTTCAACTAAGTTCCCGCTTTAACAAACAAGTTCCATATTGAGAAGATACAGCCTTTATACAAGATCTAGTTAACTGGAGATTAACTTCTCTCCTCATATTCATCTCACAATGTAACAAACTATTTCTGTAAAATATGGACTGTGGAATAAAAAATCTAGACATCTATTTACAGGATCCAGCCCACACAGACCCCTAAAAATTATATTCCTTACATACATGAAAAGAATAAAGAGAAGAGGGCTGGAGAAATAGCTCAATGGTTAAGAGTAATGGCTGCTCTTCCAGCACCCACATGGCGGCTCACAAGCATCTATAACGAGATCTGATGCCCTCGTCTGGCATGCAGACATGCATGCATGCATGCAGACAGAATACTGTATACATAATAAATAAATAAATCTTTAAAAGAAAAAGAAAGAAAATAAAGGTGGATGACACAAAGAGGAATGTACTTCAAGTCAGAAATGGTTGATTTTGAGCTCAGCTTTGTTGATTATTATATAAATTTCAGATCATCTGTCCTTGTTTCCACATCAATAAAATAGTGGAAATAATGGTCTTGTCTTTGGAACAAATAAATAAATGGATGTAAAAGTATACATAGTAAAAGTTTAAATGATATTTGTCAATTAACAGAATCAATGGTTCTTTTTTAAAAGAAATTCTGTTGCGCACTCACTTTACAACAGTTGCTGTTTAGAAAGATGGAAGAGGTGCAATAATGAATAAAATAAGTAAAATCCCTCTAACTATAGGGAGCCAATTTTAATAAAGGGAGATCAACAAAAACAACTACATAAGTAATAAATATATACCAAACAAAAAGCAAAAAGAATTCAGGGAATGAAGGTAAGACTGCAATTTCCAATAAGGTTCTCAGGAAAGATCTCAGCAGGAAATATATGTTAGGTGGGGTGAACATGCCTGTAGCCTGAGGACTCTTGAAGACTAAGACAAGAGAATCATTTTAAGATCAAGACTAGCCTAGACTACAGAGTGAGCTCTAGGCTAGCCTGGGAAACATAGTAATACCTTGTTTGGAAAAAATACAGATATTTGGTATATTATTCAGACATGAATTAAGTAAATTAATTATAACAAAAAGGAGGAGAGAGAGGGGGAGGGAGAGGGGAAGGATGGAGGGTGGGAGGGAGGAAGAAAGAAGAGTTCTGAGGCAGGTGAAGATGGAGGAGGAACACTCCAGCAGATACGGACAAGGGAGGCTGCATTTTATTCAATTGCACCCTGTGGTGTCTGTATTACTCAGGTGTCTATTTTATTCAGGTAAACATTACAAGAAGTAACAATTCCAACACATTGCTTATATTCTTATAAGCCACAAAGTGAAGAACAGTAATCTAAGAGAGCAGCACAAAACAGAAAGAACTTTGTCAAAAGAAAACTGGCCTTACTTCCTTGCCCTCATGCTGCAGTTTTCTATTAGTATCCGTCACTTGGTTCTGTGGAGAGAAGACAATTTAAACTCATGAAAAACAAGCACTTAGACAATAGCTGGATAAAGATCAAAATTTAATATGAAAAGACTGGGGTATCTCTAGATACCTTCTATATTCCAGTACATGGGGATACAGCTGCTTTCTCTGCAAGTTAAACTCTTAATTAACTTTTCTACTAGGCATCCCCATGACCTTTTTTTTTTTCCCAAAAATTCAAATGACCTTTTGCAAAAGGAAAAGGAAAGCTGACCAAAAGACATGTTTGGTTTAGATAGAACATTCCAAAGTAAGATACTATAGTGTTCCATGATCACATTGTAACTTTGGAGAGGAAGAGAGGCAAAAAGAAGAAATAAATAAAATGGAAAGTAATCCAAAGAGTTTTACCATCTGTACAATGTCTAGAAAATAAGTGTACCACGAACATTTCTTACTTCACAATATATTCCTAAAAGGGCTAGGTATAATTTCAACTTTGTAACACAAGTCAAGTTTACAATTCTACAAAATGAATTATTTAATAGTTTATAGTCATTAATTCATAACAGCTTCTAATACTTCTATATCCCCATTAATCTCATCATCAGCCAAAAATATGTGAGTAAGCCTTAAATGAGCTATGATTTATAATTTAAGGGAACAAGGACACACCTTTCAATTATCTACTTTTGATGTTTCCACTAATATAAAAAATAAATTTTTAGAATAGTAATTTCTTTATCATCTCAGACATTATCAAAACATGGACAATATTAACTTCTAAGCTTCTTAAATAGAGACTATCTAGGCTTTCACTAGTGATTTCTGCTCTTATCCTTTTACTGCATTCCTCAACCCAGTATTTCTTACAGTGTCCCTTAAAGCATCAAGAAATGTTAGCTAATGTTATTAACACATGGGCACACATGAATCGCATGCATACACACAGCGAGGGGAGATTAACAAAACTATAAATGTTCAGGAAAGGTACATAATATGGAATGTTTTCCAAATTTATTTGATACATCATCATCTCCAGAAACTAGTTATTCAGGAAATGCATTTTTTATTTTTTATCTTAAATTATACACCATACCTAGATAATAGAGTCCATAGCATATTTGAACATACACCCCAGAAAAAGATTTTATAAAATCTGAGAAAAGGGGGCAATAAATATTCATATTACCTCTTTATTATTTTCCCAAGAGCACCATATGTGAAAAAAAAAAAAACATTAACCAATAGACTGTGAGCTCAGTGACAGGCAAGACAGCATGTAGCTGCCAAATGCAAATCTAAGGCATTCACTGAAGTATTACCTCAAACGGAAAATATTTTAAGTTTTTCGGGCCTCACAGCATCTGCAGTAACTAATCAACACTGACAGCAATGCAACCACTAATAAAATGTTATGTGCTGGTATGTCTAGGTCCCAATAAAACCTTATTTACACAACAGAAGGCAAGCTGGATTTAGCCTACAATCGAGAGTTGCTGTGCCCACTCTAAAATAGGAGCAGATCAAATAATGAGAATGACATTCAGATGTCATGTGTCATAAAGACCACTGACAAACTGCAGCATGACTAAATATAAACAAGTTTAAGGAGCCAAATATATATCACATGAAAAACAAATGAAGTTATTCCATTCCATAGATAAAGGAAAACACATTTGGAAACACTACACACTATACCTGGACCCTGTAAACTACACCCCACACCTAAACAATGGCTGCCTCAAGGATCTTGAAGAGCTAGAAGAGAAGAACAGTTGCTCCTAATAAATGCCTATAACTAGAAAGCAGGATTCAGCTCAAAGTTAGAGAAGGCTTTCAAGCAATGTAAATAAAAGTGGCATGGTTACCTCATAAAAAGAGTTTGGCAATGTCCCTTCTGCTTCTATTGTGTGGAACAACTTGAGGAGTACTGGTATTAGCTCTTGTTTGAATTTCTGGTAGAACTCTGCAGTAAAGCCATCTGGCCCTGGACTTTTTTTGGTTGGAAGGCTTTTGATGACTGCTTCTATTTCATTAGGGGTTATAGGTCAATTTAAAATGCTTATCTGTTCTTGGTTTAATTTTGGTAAGTGATATCTATCCAGAAAATTGACCATTTCCTTTAGATTTTTGAATTTTGTGGAGTATACAGGTTTTTCTGTTTGTTTTTTTTTCCTTTTTTTGTTTTTTTTTTTTTGTTTTGTTTTGTTTTGGTTTGGTTTGGTTTTTTCGAGACAGGGTTTCTCTGTGTAGCTTTGTAGCCTATCCTGGCACTCACTCTGGAGACCAGGCTGGCCTCGAGCTCACAGAGATCTGTAGGGGAAGCTGTCTGGGAAATGTAGTAGAGAAGTGATGATCCAGGCAGGAAGTGACATAGCAAGGAGACTCATATTTAAGTGAAGGAGAAACAGGAAGTGCCCTCTTTCCCCTCTGCTCCTGCTCCTGCAGCACAATGTGATCCACAGACAAGGAGGGACACCATTAAGGCGTCCGATAAGATAAGTCTTATAACATATATAGATTTATGATAATTAAGACTGAGCTAACAGATGAGAAGTCCTAGTCATTGGCCAAGCAGCTTTGAACCTAATACAAGTTTCTGTGTATTCATTTGGGCCTAACTCGGGCAGGTGGCTGGCGTAAAGCTTACACGTGGCGGTGGGCTCAGGCAGCTTTTGGCAGAAAGATTTATCGTAGCAGAGAACCGCCTGCCTCTGCCTCCCGAGTGCTGAGATTAAAGGTGTGCACCACCAATGCCCAGCAAGTATACAGGTTTTCAAAGTATGACCTGATGATTCTATGAATTTCCTCACTGTCTGTTGTTAGATCCTCCCTTTCATTTCTGATTTTGTTAATTAACATGCTCTCTCTCTGCTTTTTGGTTAGTTTGGATAGAGGTTTGTCTATCTTGTTGATCTTCTCAAAGAACCAACTCTTTGTTTCATCCAGTGGCTGATGGAAGCAGAGGCAGACACCCACAGCTATACACTGAACTGAACTCTGGAACCCAGTCGCAGAGAGGGAGGAATGAAGATCAAAGGGGTTGGGACCAGGCTGGTGAATCCCACGGAAACAGCTGGCCTGAACAAGGGGGAGCACATGATCCCCAGACTGCTGTCTGGGAGGCCAGCACAGGACTGATGTAGACCCCTGAACATGTATGTCAAGGAGGAGGACTCGGCACTCTATGGGGCCCATATCCACTATGGGTAGTGGATCAGTATTTTTCCCTGGTGTAAGAAGGGATTTTGAGAGCCCATCCCATGGGAAGGGATGCTCTCTCAGCCTGGACACATGGGGGAGAGCCTAGGCCTGGGCCAGGATGGTGTTGTAGAATTTGGGGAGCCCCCCCATGGAGGGCCCTACCCTCCATGGGGAGTGGAGAGGGTAGGGGTAGGGGCCTGGGGAGGAGGGGAGGGAGAGGGAGAAGGGATTGACATGTGAAGCAAGC